AATGAAGGCAGTCACAATTGCTGTTAACTTCAGTCAAGAAAGAGTTGACTTAAGAAGCTCACAGGTCTTTTTTAGGGCCATCGGACGTCGAACTACCTTGCCAACAAATATATTAGAACTTAACAAACTTGACAAAAAACAGCCTTTAGGGGTCACAAAAATTTTAAGCATGCCAAAAGTTGCAAGAGGATAAATTGGAAGAAAAACTTCAAACGTATCTAATGAATACAATTTTACTTAGGCGTCAAGAAACTGACGCAGAAAATTTATCGAGATTGAAACAGCAGAGTCAAAATCGACACATAAAGAGTCCATTACGTGAGAGATCAGCTCTTGATTGTACCCTTACAGTAATCTCTCAAAATCTTTAAAGATCTAAATTTAGATTTTTAAATAAGTATAAAAAGTATTTGTGTTTTAGTGGCAATAAAAATGTAGAGTTTATGCTCTAGAACATTGTGGCTCTGGTAATAAAGTTGTGAGATAAGAGAAAAAAAATTGTTTTCAATATATATTCTTTGGGAGTTTAAGATCTTAACAACTTTGAAAAATTGCCCTTTCCATAAATTATACGGGAGAAACTGTAAAACAATGGCTTCTTATGGCCAACGACTATTTTATGGTGTAAGGAACGCATGGTACTTTTCAGCATAATTATTTTTTTCCTTAATATTTTACCAAATAAAACTATATGGACTCCGAAAAAATATGTTTTTAATAAGAAGATTTTTGTTCTGAGATGTGTCAGGAATATGTGTAAAATTTCTAACTGAAAACGTTTCACATTACATGTCAACACACTACGGTGTTTTATTTAGTAAGTCTCGGGCGAAGCCGCGACGGGAGGCTGCTAGTCTATTAATAATTGTATGATTCAGTTGTGAATAAGAAAAACAATAACACATGGTACTTACTCTTTATATAGACGTAAATTGTTGGACTGGGGTCTCATCCTCTCTGGCCAAGCGGTAAGATGCTTGTATAACTGCGAACTCGAGTTCGTGTCCCATATAAACCGAAATTTTTTTTTTTTTTTCTTATAACTGTTGATATTTAAGGTAATCATTTTATTGATTCATGAATTATAATTGTTGCACAAAATTTTTTTTATTTATTTTTCTTTCCAAAATCTCACCTGAGATCTCAGATGAGAATTTGGCATGAGATCTCAGGTGAGAAATCATATGAGATATCAGATGAGATCTTAGGTGAGATTTGTCAGGAGGGAATTAATCACTTTATTTTTATCTATATTTGTAATATTGTTTACTTCATTTTGACGATAAGATCGCATGTATAATTTAAGATGCAAATTACGCCATACTGTTTTAGTAAATTGTATTATTGCAGTTGCTCCAATTGTTGCGGTACTCTAGAATAATGCGTACCTATATTTTAATTGAACTGATGAGTTATGGTGAGTAAACACTTAATAAAAATCAAGTAAAATCAAGTTATAGAGTACCTATTTCTTTGAACTTTAGCAACATTGGTAACTGAACTTTAGAACCTCTTTTTAAATCAACATTCATGAATTTATACATTTACAAAAGTTGGAATTCAGTAGTTTTTTAGTCCAATATTAATAAAAAAAAAAAATCACAACGATTTGACGAATTTAATTTTTTAGACGAACGTTTAAAGCTAACCACTAAAAAAAACCGCAATAATATCCCCGTTTACTTACTTTAAAAATTTTTAATTTTCCTATTCCTATTCCAAATTAAAATTACAACACATGCTTTGTGCTACTACCTTACGTATATATACGTTACATATTAGCAGCAGCCAACAGCGGGCAAATACAGGGCCAGCTTTGGCTGCCGAACTCTTCGGCTGCCACCTGCGGACCCAAGCATACCGTATGAGGTCCCTACGATCAGCAAACTCAGTATAGATGGCGTGCTGTAGCTAAAAGAAAAATGGCGTCACTGACACACTATGGCTATAAGTGACGACGGTATACGGTAAGGTGGACTTACTTATGTGACAACATATCCGTCACGCTGGCGTCAGAAGATCATGAATACTACATTTGTGTCAATGTGACGCCATTTTTCGCTTAGCTACAGTACGCCATCTATGCTGAGTTTGCGGACCGTAACCGTAGGGACCTTATACTTAGTTACAAGTTACGACTGTTATGACCTGAGCTTCGGCACGCCGGCACGGAGCACGAAGGTGTAGATGGCGTGCCTTGTCCCTTGGCTGGCCTTGGGCAATCGGTCCGTTACCTGGTAAGGTGCTGATGCACCAGGTATCTTGCTTCCTCGCAATGACTCAAGGTCCTGGCGACTTGTCCTTGGAAGAGATGTCCGGGTCGTGTGAGTTCTTTTCTGAGAAACAGACACTTATCCGGTTGCAACGTTAATAGCGGTTTCTAGGTCAAGAATCGCATGACCCGATATTTGGAATCGAATGTCTTGGCGCGCAAACCTAACTTGAATCTTTCCACAGCGGTGCGAATAGCTACTTGCGTCATCATCTCGACGGCTTTAGGGGGGCCATCTTCGACAATAAGACCGATTTCGGTTTGTAAAATTTTTGGTTATTTTTAGTCCATAATCTGATACGGGTTCCTGCATCCCCTGGACCGTACGAGATAACTCTGCTTGTAGCTGGGTTAGACTTATTGGTGGAGAAAATATCTTTTTAAGATTGGTGAAAAATTGATCTAGGTTTAAAAAGTTTTTATACATTATTTGGTTACGGGCATTTCCGGTTATTTCAGACTTAATGATTTTCCCAAAATAGTTATTTACGTAACAAGTGCGGAAAAGACGATTTCCCGCACGAGTAGTGATTGACTCACACGAGTGCCGGAGTTGACGGGAACGAGTACCAGTTGAGCACACGAGTGCGTAGCATGAGTGTGATCGCAAGGTACAAGTTACCGTCACCAGCCACGAGTGCGAGTCTATCACACGAGCGCGGGAAATCGTCCCGCACGAGTTGCGTACAAGTTTTTTCGCAATGTGTGAGGAAAATAGGTACAAAATAGGTTTGAATTTTGATTTCCAGTGTGTAGCAAAATTTTTTCCGGTGTGTGGCAAAACCTTTTCCACACACCTTTTCCGCACACTGTGCGGCAAAAACCTTTGCCGCACACTTTTTCCACACACTGTGCGACAAAAACTTTTGCCACACACCTTTTCCGCACACTGTGCGGAAAAACCTTTGCCGCACACCTTTGTCGCACACTATGTGGGAAAATCGATTTTCCACACTAATATCAGTGTAAAACACCTATTTTTCACACACTTATTGCGAAAAAAATTGTACGCAACTCGTGCGGGACGATTTCCCGCACTCGTGTGATAGACTCGTGCGGGAACTCGTCTTTTCCGCACTTGTTACGAAAATAACTATTTCCTCCGGGCTTACGTACTTTTCGAGGGCTCAGCATTCCCTAATAAAAATAGTGATCGGAATTTCTCTATCATTAAATTCAGGAATCAAGTTGATCAGTTCATTAAATTTTTGAAATTCTTCCTAGATTCAATGACAAGAGGTTTCATAGATGCAGACTGGTCGTCGTTTGGATTATTAGACTTCGGCCCAGAATTGTCTGATATAATATCCTCCATTTTAGGCTCTACCGTCCATTGCCCTGAGGATGCCATATTTACGTGTTAAAGTGTACTTATCGAACGCTTGAAAATTGATTGGTGAACCTCCGACCACGGAGTCGTTTGCGCCACAAATTCACGATGCGTTGATGAATAGGTTGCCGATGTCCTCGTCTTAGCCATGATGTCTAGGTGATGCTCATTTAATCTGTAGAGACCCTTGGCGTCTTCGGCGCTTTTCTCGAAAATGACTTCTGAGTTCTGCGTCCGCCTTGACACCTTTTCCTTTCTCGGGAACAATCACAAGGTATCGTAGAACACTAATTGATAGGGTTGGATTTTACTCCCTGAGGATGACCTCCAGGTATCCTTCGCTTCCTACAGTCCAGGATATCACTGGGGATGTTCACTGGCTAACACTTAAAGATATCTAAACTTCCTGAGGATGACCTCCAGGTATCCCACCGCTTTCACCAAAAAGTATTTCTGTTATGACCTGAGCGAGGAGCACAAAGGTATAGATGGCGTGCCTTGTCCCTTGGCTGGCCTTGAACAGTCGGTCCGTTACCTGGTAAGGTGCTGATGCATCAGGTATCCTTTGCTTCCTCGCAATGACTCAAGGTCCTGGCTAATGGAATCAATTCCTAACACGACTGTTAAGTACAACTAATCTCTGGTTACAAGCCTCCGTCGGCCGCCGTCGAGCCGTCGCGATATTCCGCATTCGGGCCGAATGATTCTGTTCGGGAGCCGAACGACCTTTTCTGTTCGGGTCAATGACTCTTGGAGTCTTGGGGTCTTGGGTGCTCGGAGGCTCGGAGCGCTCGAAGCACTTGAATCGAACAAGTCACTGTATAACTCGTGGTAAAAGCATTATACTATCTCTATGGGTAACAGTAGTTTAGCCCAAGCCCACCCTCCAAGAAATTAGCTTGAAAAAAGACATTGCTACCATAACAACGTAAGGTGCCAAATTTATAAGTGTAAGTTACTTAATAGCGGAAAGTTGTGAAAAATGACCAAATTATATCGATATTTTTGGAAAATATAAAAAAAAGGTTATAAATATAATCAGTAATGGCTTCCCCGCGAGCTTCACTCGCTCGTTAGCGTTGTAAAAAATTACCAAATTCTACGAAGTACCGACGGTAGAGTAGCCAACCACATATGTGTGGAATTAATAGAAAAAACGTTTATAAAAAATAATAATGTAAAAACTCTAATAATAATGTAAAAATTCTATGAAGTAAAGTTTAAATAATCCGCCACTTTTTCAGCCATAATCTCTGTAATTAAAAGTTGGTAGCACAGTCGTGACAAGCATGTTATGAAGCCAACTTCTCAGGATGGGCTAAATTACACATCCGCCACAACTTTTTTAAAACTTGCGGCAAGTACTTTTTTTACACATTCTGGGCTCAGCTCTCAGTCCAAGTGCAATGGTTTTCTAACAACGTCAGTCAATTCAATAGATAAGTATTTACTTAATTAATAAACAGTTACAGGGGCTGAGAGAGGGGTGTGTACATACATACGTTAGTAACGACAAAATGGAATTGCAGGAAGATTAAAAATGAAGTTAGTATAGTACAGACCATTAATCAGAGTATCAGACCCGTTACTTTTATTACCAAGGACAAATGGTATATTTTTCCTTGGTTCTCCAAGAATGTACTGCGCATTGAAAAAATGGTAATAAAGTGTTGGATATTGTTATTATTGCGCCTCAGTCCTGTGCAACAAACACTTTTGTTATTGCAGCATCAGCATTGCGTGTTGAATTAATTCGAAGATTATAGATTAATTTAACCTATTTCTTTATTTTTCTATTCGCTTTTGCGACGCAGTCTTTGCAACAAAAGAGCCGTGCGGGCCTTGAGCACCAGCGAAATCTCGACGGCGCTCCGACCCTTTTATTTCTCGGTACATCCAGACCTCTTTGGACAATTTCCAACTCAAAGGGTTTGTTATTTCACCATACAACTTATTATTGTTATTATTATACTGTTGATTATGTTATGTATTGTTACAACAATTACCTAACTGAAAAGCTAACGTACAATAACTGTACAACTGAATATTGAAAAGAAATATTAATTTGTAGACAGTGAATGAGAATTCTCTAAAGCAGCTGAGTTCTGCGATAGAACATTTACAGCAGAAGAGACAAATTAGGCCTACAACACTAGCCTTCTATTTGCGCTCTAAAGATGAAAAAGAAGTAAAGGCAGGAAAATTTACTTTGGTGAACATTCAACTAAATGAGCAGGATCTACGCAAAACAATTATAACTATATTGAAAACTTGCAATTTGCCAACATCTTCTGTTGAAAGACTTCAAGATGAGAGATCTCCAACTGCAGAAAAAAGCAAAAGTAAAAATGAATTTTGGAGTCAAAATTTTTCTGGAGAAATAAATTTTTCTGAATTAGAGGATGATCCAATTTATGCTTCTTTATTGATGAGGAGAAAAATAAATTGTGTACCTGATACCCTCAAGTAAGTATTATAATTTTCGTTTAGTTTAATACTCTGAATAAATTTTATTTAAATCGTAAGTATCATTAAGATAAAGATTCAAAGATTGCTTAGAAGAATTGCGTTTTAGAGCATACTTGGATAAAAGTGTTAATGAAGCTCACATCAAATTTGAAGCTTGCCGGCCAGTCACATCTGAAGTAAAAAAATTAGAAGTTGCCCTGTGTGATCATTTAGGTTTGAAAAATATATTTTGGGACTGTGGATGGAACGTCACTCACTACAGAGGATGTTTATTAGCCTTTCAAGCTTTGGCGCAGCATCATCCAGAACCTATGGAAGTATTGAAAGATAGAACTCTTGTTTTTGCCAATGATACTGGTATTGGAGTAGAAGGAAACGTAATGCTCAACTCTGGAGAAGTCAGAAATAATTGGTTAGATGTAGGTATCAAAGAAAAATCTCATTTATTATTCACTAGTTGAATTGTAATTACAAAATATATACTTTTTAGCTAATAAAAAATGTAAAGAAGTATGATTTGGTTCTACTTCGCTTACCTGCTTTTGAAAAAGCCGTGTCAAGAGTATTGCTAGACATAAAGGTTGGACGAAGGTAAGTAGAACAAGTTCTTAAACGAGTAACAATTTGGTTTAGGCCTGATTTTATGTGTAGAAAGTTTATGCCTAAAGTTATGGTTGGTGAATATGAGTCACAACTTCGACAATTAATAACCACTCTGTCGGATTATCGAGGAAAAAGAAGCTATCCAAATTCTTGGCCAGAAAGTTTGTCTTCTTACGAGATAGTTATAGAAGCGTGAGTTCTTGTAGTGTTCCCTAAACTATATATTTGTTAATTGAGGAAGATGTCTTACAAAATATCTATTACAGAGAAGCTGGACCTCTAATGTTATCACCAACTGGTCAGTTTATTGTGCCATCTTCATGTCCTAGCTTCTTACTAGTCAATTTTATAACAGAAAACCTTGAAGAAGCTGCAAAAAGATTACATCACTATAATAAGTAAGCTACACTAATTTGTCGTGTCTTATTTTAAATTACGTTAACAAAGTATTATAAAACAAATTTCATTATTTTTTGGTAGTGTTAAATACGTTGAACGAGAATTACATGCTAAAGTCATTCAAGAATTAGGCCTAGCTGAATTGAATAAAGATGACAGCATAAGTCCAGATCATATGATACGATGCTGTGAACGTTTACTTTTGCACAAAAATGTCTTGGCGCCTTTATTGAATGGAATCATGCTTTGGATAACGCACTATTACTCTGTAATGAGTGATGGTGTCTTGTGCATTCCTTGGGATTGGAAACTCTGAATTCAGATGAATTGTTGAGCCTGTAATATGGTATTCATTCTCGTAGTTTCATATCATTTTTTCATTGCTTATATAGCTTTAACAGAACATATGTACCTACATAGGTATTGAAGTTTTGGAAACCTTGCCCCACTCATTAGATATTAAAAATGACTATTTAAGTTTCAGCTTCCAATTATGACAATGATTAATTTTTACCTTTATACTTGTAAATAGTAATTAATGGAGCTGTTTATGGAACTCGTCTCTAAAAAATGCTGAACTATGCTCAGTAGGACGTGAAGATTCTTAAATGTCAATACAAATAACCTTATGTGTAAATAAATACAAATTTTTACTAAACATTCTTATATGGAATACTCTGAAAATAGTTTTCAAAGTACTGTACTACAAGATTAAACTTGTCAATTAAACTAAGAGGGGTTTGTCATTGCAGAGCGCTGGAAGGGTATTAAAACTTCGTTTTCAAGTATCAATTGAGAAAATCGTTGAAATAATGCAATGGATCGAAATTCTGTAAACAACTTTTTTGTTTCTCTTTATGGGCTTAGTGTTAAAATATGTTATAGTTTTCTGAAAACATTTTCAGAACTTGCTGCATCCAAACGTATAAAATAAATACGCGAAAAGCTTATATGTAGCCGAATGGTGTTTTTCGCGTACGCGATCATTCATTAAGTACTTGTACAAAGGTAGGTGGAGCGTTGCTTAAGGAGTGGGTTTTTAGCGTGTTGGCTCCCTGACAGACTCACAAATAATTGTTAGAGTAAGTAGTGATGTAAATATTGCTGAATTAATAATTAACTTGTTAGAAAAATAAATACTATATTTGAAAAGATATACATTTTTTGTCTCAAGTCAACAAGAATCCAATCCCTGGCCAGATAATTTTTTTTTTTTTTTTAATATCATAACAATTGTGCTGAAATGGTGCTGAAATTACTGTCCAGAATTTTTTTTACCAACAAAATATTTATGCAATGAAACTTTTTTAAAATTCAATCGACTTGATTGTTCAGGGTGTCTAGTGTATTTCTGACCATGTTTTTCTATTAACCAACTCTTTGCCACAAACTGCTGTTGACTTTGGGTTTTCGAAAAAAAATCAAATAAGATGAAAATTGACACTGCAACTTTCGTTCAATGAGCTTTAACTTTGAGGGTAGGAGTGGGGATTCGGAAATTTATCAATCACACCGTGGCGATGTCGGTTGCCGGACAAACCTTAAATACCATTTTTTGGCTGTGTTTGATTATCGTAATGGTGTAATAAATGTCAACTTGTTTCATTTTGAAAAGGTGTGGCGTAAAGTGCAACACTCCCAACCAAAAGAATATCTGTCGAAATCAGTCGTAAATTACATCGTTGATACTGTGTTAATCCCATGTTGAATGTGTGGGTCATTTTACAAAAAGTGCGATATTCCATTAAGCCCACGTTTAAAAACGTATTAAATTATTTCAAGTCAGGACCTTTTTTTAACGGTATAAGCCAATCGTTCCGGAATAATTTCTTGCGTGGTTGTAACTCGTAAGATAGAAAAAACAGGCCCAACATCATGACCGTAGCGTGAAGAATTTAAAAATTACATTTTTTGCGGCTTCTGGTGCTTAGAGGTTGATTTTAAAAATTTTTTACGATGTAATATCTAAAAGTTTAAGGTGTTGAGCACCTTATAATAGTTTAGAACATATAAAAATATTGTATTTTTAAGTACGGGGCGTTTCGGGTCGGGGTCGGGGCCAACTTGCACAAAACTAGACTATAGTAATTTTTTGCCGGAAGGTTAACCTTGGTAATTACCACCAACGGCACAAACCAGTCTGAGAGACAAAGTACATAGATGGGAATCATTCAATGAAACGTAACCGTACCTCTCTCTCTTGAACTAATAGACGGTGCTGGATGTACTAACCACAGGTAAATGTGTCCGCAGTGTGATTCCTTGTGCACGATGTTGAAGCTGCGTCCGCAATGGAACTCACTGTACTTTTATTTTATTTTTGAAGCTGCGTTCGCATATCAATGCGTCCGCAATGGGACTAACTGTACTTTTATTTTATTTCTAAACCTGCGTCCGCAGATCAGATGCAGAAGATTTCGTAGCCTATATCCTTTTATGTCCCGGGCGCACAGCGTACGACAAGCGAGTTCTTTTAGACAAAAATCAATCAACCGAGAAATTTCAAAGAACTCTCTATTGCATAGATTGAAAAAAAGGGACAGGCTGTAGCGCTCGATCTCTACAGTAAATGTCTGTCTGTTTCACCAATCTCTATTGCTTGGAGCTTTGATGAGGAGCTTGGATTTACTTGATCCACGTCGGGAGTTTGCATCCAAGCAAGAACTTGATTCCTGGATTCAAGTGTTAAAAGAACGTTGTATCGTCAATTTAAAAAAACAACACGGGTGTAGTCAAAAAGATTCTGCGCTTTTTTATACATATTTGGAATTGATTTGCAAAAGATTTGGAATTTTTAAAAGTAGGGGGAATAATATCCGAAAAACCCGAAGTGGCAAATGTGACTGCACATTTATTCTTATTATAAAACCAAATAACACAAACAATAGGCTAATTTTCAGCGACAAATCAGTTTGGCAGCATAATGCGGCTTGCATTAATTTGCAAGCTGGTTTACCTGAGAATAATGAAGATCGAGAGGCAGTCCACGAAAATGATAATCACCACTTGAATATTGACAATGAACCTGTGCAGCAGGTAGAAAAAGCCGATGTGAATGTTGACAATGAAGAAGCAGCGAAGGAGGTAGTGGATGCTAATGAAAATAAAAAAAATGTGGATAATGTATTGCAGTTAGACCAGCCAGAGGGTAGCGTAGAATGTGTCAAAAAAAAAAAATTTAGATGGTAAGCTTCTAAAAACATATTTGTATTATAGTCTGATTGTTTTGTTTGCATTTAGTCGCAATATAGTGAACGTTTATAAAAATTACGATGGCTGCATTTATTTCACTATAACTGTGCGTAAAAACTCTCATAATAATCACACAACTACACCGTACACACAATTTGTTTGTCAGACTTACGTATGTGACTGATTTTATTTTATTGTCATAGCATTATTGGTTCAAAAAATCGTGTGATTTGTTTGGTAGTTTTATTTCATATTGTTCATTCATTGTATTGCAAAATTTATTTAAATTATTATATTAAAAAATTAAAGTTGCTATTATGTTATAATTTTTCTCTTAAAAAAAAGATGCTTGCAGTAAATCAATCATACTTAATAATATTTAATGAGAGTTTATAAAACAAAGAGTTTTCGTATGTATTTATTGCAAGCCTACGCGAATTGGCCCATGATACGCGTAGTAAACCCAAATTAAAAGTGCAGACAGATTTGCTCGCGTCGCCTGTTAAGCCACGTTGAGATATGGAATGTATTAAGTAGAGTAGTAGTAGTAGTAGTAGTAGTAGTAGTAGTAGTAGTAGTAGTAGTAGTAGTAGTAGTAGTAGTAGTAGTAGTAGTAGTGGTAGTGGTAGT